ACACCGTAGTTCTGGGCGCAGCATGCTGGAGGCAGAGAGCAGAGGTGAGTTAGGCCAGTCCAGGTGGTGTTGGCAGAGACCTTCGGGGCTTTGGATTTCCTGAGAACTGGGTCCTCAGACCTTTTCTTTGCCTATAGATGGCTCTAATTGGACCCAGTGGTTGCTGCCACTCCTAGTCTGGTTGGCCAATGGACTACTAGTGTTGGTCTGCTTGGCTTTTCTCTTTGTCTACGGGGAACCTGTGACTAGGCCACACTCTGGCCCAGCTGTACACTTCTGGAGACATCGCAAACAAGCTGACCTGGATTTGGCCCGGGTAAGGGGCTGGCCCTGGGGAGAAGGAGTGGGGTAGGCCCCCGGGCCTGAAAAGTGCTGGGTGCCTCTGCTCCCTTTATTTTCTCCACACCTCCCTTCATTTTGTCCAATCTGTCCCATCCCACACCTTCAGAACTCCTTTGACTCTAGGGGCCCAAACAAGGGGGTACCTTGCTGTCATTTTTCTTACTGAGACAACCCTTTCTCCAGGGAGATTTTGCCCAGGCTGCTCAACAGCTGTGGCTGGCCCTGCAAGCACTGGGCCGGCCCCTGCCCACCTCAAACCTGGATCTGGCCTGCAGCCTGCTTTGGAACCTCATCCGCCACCTGCTACAGCGTCTCTGGGTGGGCCGCTGGCTGGCAGGCCAGGCTGGAGGCCTGCAGAGGGACTGTGGGCTGAGAACCGATGCTCGTGCCAGTGCCCGCGATGCGGCTGTCGTCTACCATAAGCTGCACCAGCTGCATGCCATGGGTATGGCTGGGTGGGAGCTGGGCTTTGAGGGTCTCCACCGGTGATACCATCACCTCCTGTCCTCACGCCTCACCCACTTTGCAGGCAAGTACACAGGAGGACATCTTGCTGCTTCTAACCTGGCACTAAGTGCTCTCAACCTGGCTGAGTGTGCAGGAGATGCTATATCCATGGCAACACTGGCAGAGATCTATGTGGCAGCTGCCCTGAGGGTCAAAACCAGCCTCCCAAGAGCCTTGCACTTCTTGACAGTGAGTAGGCTGATGGGGACAGGGCTGGGAGCTCCTCCACCTGTCACTTCCAGGGCAAGGGGCTAAACAAGATGTGGCAGTGGTTAGCAGGTGGGCTGTAGGCCCTCCTGGGGTCTCCAACTCAGGTCTGGGTTTGAGCTTGGAGCCAGTTTGACGGTCCTGTTCTTTCCCCTACAGCGCTTCTTCCTGAGTAGTGCCCGCCAGGCCTGCCTAGCACAGAGCGGCTCAGTGCCTCTTGCCATGCAGTGGCTCTGCCACCCTGTAGGTCACCGTTTCTTCGTGGATGGGGACTGGGCTGTGCATGGTGCCCCCCAGGAGAGTCTGTACAGCGTGGCTGGGAACCCAGGTGCTCTTTCGTTCTGTTCTAACCCTGCCCCATGCCTTCCTGTTCCTATGTCACATTACACTATCCCCTTCTGAATGTCCTCACCCACCAGCTTATTTTGCACTGTGGGTTGGGGCTTGGGCCACAGCCGTGGCTGTGGGTGGCTTGCTGGACTTTGCCAAGGTTCTTTAGAAGCAGGAAGCAGTATGGGTCAGCAGGCAAGGAGGGGATGTGAGTGGTAGCTCTAGGTTACACCATTGTTGTCTTAGGAAGAGCCCTGAGGAGAGTCAGGCCCATGGGTATGTGACTGAAAAGGCTCTCCTTTCCAGTCTGTGGCTCGTGCATAGCCCACGCACTTTCCTCCCTGGTCAAGCTTATGAGGGCAGGGACCCATCACTGTCTGTCAGGGTATGGAACTAGGAAGTGGCTCTGGGTTGGGGCCCAAGCATCCGAAGGCATTGGTGTGGGAGAGGACTGTAGAGAGGACGATGTCTAATCTCTGCTCGACTCACCCCTCCTCACAGTGGATCCACTGGCTCAGGTGACTCGACTATTCTGTGAACATCTCCTGGAGCGAGCATTGAACTGTATCGTTCAGCCCAGCCCAGGGGCAGCTGATGGAGACAGGTGAGTTTGCCTGGGCCACTCCCAGGCAAGACCTACAACAGGGCATCTGGGAAAGCCTTATCCAACCTCTTTAGTAGCCAGACTCTGTTCTCAGAGCCTCTCTGGGTCTTGCTTTCCCCTTTCAGCCAGACAGGTGGTATTTTGTAGAATCACAGAGTCAGACTCTGCTTGGATGGCTGGTGAGAACCACTGTCATCCAGAGCCCGAGACTGCTGCTCTCTGTCCTGACAGCTCTCTCCTGCCTCAGGGAGTTCTCAGATGCCCTTGGATATCTGCAGTTGCTAAATAGCTGTTCTGATGCTGTCGGGACTCCTGCGTGCAGCTTCTCTGTCAGCTCCAGCATGGCTAGCACCACTGGTGAGCTCCAGACCCCTGTCCTGACTCCTCCAGGGAGTATCTGGATATGGTGTGGCTGAGGGTGGCACCTTTCCCTCTCTGTAGGCAAAGACCCAGTGGCCAAGTGGTGGGCCGCACTGACAGCTGTGGTGATCCACTGGCTGAGGCGAGATGAAGAGGCAGCTGAGCGCTTATACCCACTGGTAGAACACATTCCCCAAGTACTGCAGGAGACTGAGTGAGTGCCCAGACACACCCTTCTTGCCCAGCTTTGCTTAAATATCAGTACGGGAAGGACAGTGTGCTCTCTCTTCCCCTCAGACTAGAACCCTGGTGGGAGAACTCAGGGAAGGGCTGTAGTCTTGGTCTAACTTACCATGTCTGCCACAACCCCAACAGGAGACCCCTGCCCAGGGCAGCCCTATACTCCTTCAAGGCTGCCCGGGCTCTGCTGGACCATAGAAAGGTGGAATCCAGCCCAGCCAGCCTGGCCATCTGTGAGAAGGCCAGTGGGTACCTGCGGGACAGCTTAGCTTCCACATCAACTGGCAGTTCCATCGACAAGGTGAGGGGTAGGATGGGTCCTGTCTAGGCCAGGATCACAGCTGTCCATTCCCAGTTTCTTGGAGTTAGTACAAAATAATGCTGAATGGGCTTACCTTAGTTTTTGACAAGGAGAGAGTGGTCTCACTGTTTTGCCACCACCAGGAAGAAGGGTGTGGAGAACACACTGGCAGGGCTCCTGTTGGGGGCCATTGTCAGGAAGACGGAGGGCTTGTACGTGTGAGGTCAATGCAGTGTCCCAGCAATGTAACCTGGAGTCAGGCCCTGGTGCTGTGGACTTTCTGCCTCCCACGGGGTGCGAGCCTTGGAGATAGGTTGGTCCTCAGCTAGGGAAAGGTCGATTTCTATAGAGAATTCCTCCCTCTGGCCTGCGCTACCCCAGGCCATCCAGCTGCTCCTGTGTGATCTACTTCTTGTGGCCCGCACCAGTCTGTGGCAGCGCCAGCAGTCACCGGCTTCAGCCCAGGTAGCTCACGGTACCAGCAATGGACCCCAGGCCTCTGCTCTGGAGCTGCGCGGTTTCCAACACGACCTGAGCAGCCTGAGGCGCTTGTCGCAGAGCTTCCGGCCAGCTATGAGGAGGGTGAGTACCATTGTTCTCACACTGCGGGGCATGAGGCAGGAAGCCAGGGGAGAGAGTAAATCTGAAACTGGTGGTCACTCCTCACCTCTCAGGTATTCCTACATGAGGCCACAGCTCGGCTGATGGCAGGAGCAAGTCCTGCCCGGACACACCAGCTCCTGGACCGCAGTCTTCGGAGGCGGGCAGGTTCCAGTGGCAAAGGAGGTGAGGTGGTGGCTGTGCTTACAGGGCTGGTGAGGGTTGGGGCTGGCTGGTCTAGTATGAGGCAGAATGAATCACAGAAATCAGCTGGGGTGGACAATTTCTGAAGCAGTCATAGGGAGAAGGCCGAGCCCACCTGCGTTTCCTACACAGGTGGAGAAAGCCTCCAAAGTGTTGGGGAGTTCCATGCAGAAGAGCTCAGATACCTTGTCCTGCAATAGGCTGTGGGCTCGGCCAGACCTAAGCCTTCCTTTCTGTGATGTGGTCTGTATGTACAGGCACTGCAGCTGAGCTGGAGCCTCGACCCACATGGCGGGAGCACACAGAGGCCTTGCTGTTAGCCTCCTGCTATCTGCCACCTGCCTTCCTGTCGGCCCCTGGGCAGCGAATGAGCATGCTGGCTGAGGCAGCACGCACTGTAGAGAAGCTTGGCGATCACCGGCTACTGCTTGACTGCCAGCAGATGCTCCTGCGCCTGGGCGGTGGGACCACTGTCACTTCCAGCTAGACCCCAAAGCTTTCCCCAGTATGAAAGACTCTTGAGGACCTTTGTCACTGGCTGTGGTCTTCCAGAGGGTGAGCTTGACGAGCAATCAGGATCATGCCGACCTCTAGTGGCAGATCTGGAAACTGCAGAGGCTACACTGGCCCAATGCCACCCTCTTGCTCTGGTAGGCACCTTAGTGGCTTTTTTGTGGCCTATAGAAGTCAACTTTTCCCTGAGGGTCACCCTGTCTCGAGGCTCGCACCCCGGGAGACCTGTACATAGTGTAGATCCAGCTGGGCCAGGCTCCTGGCCAGGCTCCTGTACTACTTTGACTTTTGCAAACTTTATTTTCATAGGTTGAAATTTTGTACAGAAAATTAAAAAATGAAATTATTTATAACCTCAGTTTTGTTTATCTGGGTAGGCGGATGTCTGCCTCATCTCACTGCTGTCCTTTCTGGACTGTCCTTTGGGAAGCTGGACTTCCCATCTGCTGTAAGAGTGTATTGGCTGGCTTCTGCCTTGTGATGGTATGTTGCGCCAACTTGGCCCTCTGGTCTCATGGCTAAGCTTAGACTCTATCAACCTTGAGGGGCCTTGATGGGCTCAGTTGTTTCTTTATCTTCCAGCCCTCCACCAGGTCCCAGGGTAATGACATCCCTGTATGTCTGGAAACATACACACACACAGTTCCCTAATCATCTCTCTGCATACTAGCATGGGTGAGGGACCATGGTCTCCTAATGAGCAGACTCTGGGATCCCTGTTTGTGTCCCCTGGGCCTTTCCCTCTACTCCCAACCCCTTAGGGAATCTGGTTGGTGTCCACAGGCAGCAAACTTCCAAAACAATCGTGGTATCTTTATTGACTTTTTTTCTGAATGCAATGACTGTTTTTTTTTTAACTCTTAAGGAAAATAAACATCTTTTAGAAACAGCTCGATACACACAATCTTCAGTGTGAAGCAATATACTAATAAGAACACTAGTTGTCTTAACATTTACAGTCTTCATATATATTATATATATGTATATGTATATGTATACATATATATACACTATATAACGAGGCCAGATATAATACACACGTTTACCATTTTACAGTCATATGTACAGAAAGTTGCAGGGAAAGGGGGGCTGCGTCAGGCCTATTGAAGCGTGGACAGAGCTGAGAACACAAAACGGACAGGTGGGGGCTGGCCGTGGTGGTGATGGTGGTAGTTGCTCAGGGAAGGGGCATCACTTCAGCCCCGCCCCAGCCAAGGCCAGGTTAGGGCTCTGCGCTGTGGAGCACACGACACACAGCAGCGACACACAGAAGCGAGCATGTTCCCAACATATATACATTCTATATAACATATATATAGAGGGGTACACAGGTTTGTACACGAATCTAGCACTGTCTCCACCCATGAGCCGAGTAAGCTGAGTGGCAGTCCCCAAATCCCATGTTGGTGCTTTGTCTGGGACAGCTGCACATCTGCTAGAGGGTAGCCAGGCCCAGGCTCCTCAAGCATCCAGACCGGGCTCCAGCAGTGGGCGGAAGACTGGAAAGGGGACAAACAGAAGCCATGGGCGCCACTCCTGGCAAGCCCTCATCAGGGATCCAGGCCCGCCACGGCCCTGGACAGATCCATGCCAAGTGCTGGGCCGTGTCCCCACCGGTGGGCCTCTACAGAAAAGCGTGGGTCTGCCCCACGTCGTCCACCGAGCCAGCAGCGCCCCCAGCCTCTTCCCAGGGGCACAGCTTGCATGCCTCGTCTTTTTCAGAGCTTGAAGGGGACTTACACCCCGCCCGAGACCTTGTGCCTTGGGTCTGGCCACTCTGGCCTGCCTTCGCCAAGCCTGGCCCCGGTTTTCTTTGCAACCTAGGCCTCACTCCAGCGCCCGAGGCAGCCGGAACCGAGACCCAAGATGGGATCAAGGACCGGCTGTGGGCGCAGCTTTCCTCTTCCTCGGAGTTTCGGCCACACAGGGATTACAACGGCAGCCTCTGTGGGAGGGACAGGCCATTACTGTTACTGCCAGCCGCTGCCACCCTCTTCCCTTCCACAAGAACCCTGCAATCCACCTTAGACTATGACAACATAACTTTAGGACCCTGGCTGTACCCCTCCCTACCCTCTGGCAGGGCAGGGAGAAACTGGGTTGGGTAGGGAACTCTTTCTCTGGGGGAGCCTGTTCACCTACCTTATGTTTGGGGCACTTCAAAGTAAAATTCTCCTCAATGAACGTGCAACCTGTGAGCAAAGAAAAGTTTCTGTGGTGATGCAGAGTAGGCTGGCTTCCAGTGTTGATTCCGAGCACCCAGTTCCTGCTCTGAACCCTCTCTAGTCCAAATTCCACCCAGAGGTGCAGCCCCTCTGCCTCTACCCTGGTATTTCCCTTCCTGTCCTCCACTCCTATGCACCCCCTGGCCCACAAGGCCATCTCCCTGCTACTCAGGTCTCTCCCAAGCAGAAGGAACTCTCCTTCCCAGACATGCCGACTCCTGTCTCAGTCTCCTGCACAATGGTCAGGAGAGGCCCACGCTCAGAAAGCACCCACGATTGATTGCTTGGGTGACTGACAACTGTGAAGTGGAGCTTCAGGTCCTGACTGGAATGTCAGCTACCAAATCTCAGCCTCTATATTGTAGATTAGTCACAATGCCACCTACTGTGTGCTGTCATGATCCTTCTTCACGTTCAGAGGAAATGTTCCACACGGAAGGGCTTATTCTTAAGAGACAGCAGTAGGAGGTCACAAGGTCCGGGTCTAGATGAATGCCCCAGATGTCCAGAGAGGATGGCCAAGCAGCCAGTCATTATGCCTACCCAGGGCGATGTGCTGCTATCGTGAGACCTTGCCAGCTGCCATCAGAACATGTAGCCATCATCCTCTGGGTGTCCCTTCCACCCATGGGCCTTCCTGAGCCCATCTTTGGCCCCCTCTCCGCCACTGACAGGGGCTCATCTTCCCAGATGTCATCTCCCATCTCACATTAGAGATGGTGCAGAACCTGCCTGTGTTTTCTTCCCTCTTCTCCACCCAGAGGGGAGGGAGGGAGGTGGGTGTCACCGGAGAAAGCTGCAGGAGAAGTTGTCTTCTCGGAAGAGCACTCAGGCAGACATTTGGCCCTGGGGCTATGCTGGACCTAGGTTTAGATATAACCTAACAGCAGGGGGTTGCTACTTCCTAGTCAGCTCAGTCACCAGTCACCCAGCGGCTGAGGGCAGGGACTGGGGTAGGGGTTGGGGGTAGCTTTGGAACTGAATACAGATGTTCAAACTGGACCGCGTGCTATTGCTGTTATGCTCTTGGAAGTGAGGGGCAGAAGGGGATTTCCAATTGTTTCTAGGAGCCTAGGACACCTAGGAGTGGCTGGCCCGAGTGGTGAATTATTGCTGTACTCTTGCCACGTGGCTAGGCACTCTGACCTTGTCACTGGCCGTAACGGCTGTTTCCCAGGGCTCCACCTCTCTGACAGCTGTTCCAAGGTGCCTCCCCTAACCCCAGTGCTGAGGTCAGGAGCCCAATGGCAGGTGCTCCCTCCTGTTGTGGCCTACCCTTAGCTGCCTGGCTCTGTAGTCCCCACCCACCCTTTGAATCTGAGCTATACAGGTACCCGCCTTTGGCTAACAAACACAGGCTACAAGCCTTGTTACTTGTTGAAGGGCCCTGCTGCTGTTGGGATGTGCTAGGCCAGCCACCCGAAGCAGACAGCACTGGGCCAGAAGGTATAAAGAAGCCACTAAACTGGGTATGAAAGGGTCAGGAGCTTGACCCTGCTACTAAATGCCCAATCTTCCCAAGCCAGCCCTGTCCAGATCGACATCATAAAAGTGAGGAAACCAGACGCTCCATGCCTGCTCTCTCGTAAGGCCTGTCAAGTCTCTAGAATGTATGGTTCCACCTCTACCAGACTACCGTTCTCCCCTGCTGGGACTCCTGGCTAGCTCACCAGTCTATCATACAGACGGATGTCTTATCCCCGCAGGCCCCTTTCGGCCTCAGACTTGTCTTCTGCTGAGTGCTCATGGCCTGGTCTGCAGCCGTGCACTAACCAACCATGGCTTAACACAGCTGATGTCTGGGGCCTGGCTCCAATGTCACCTGTCTGGAATCTTCCCCAGATTCCTCCCAGCTCAGACAGAATGGCTTTCTTTATAATCACAGTATCTCCTGATCTGATCTGAATACTGTTCATTGTCAGCTACAAAGAATTTAAAATAACCTGGAGAACGGGCCTCTGGGAATGCCTGTGAGGGATTATCTTTTTAAAAATTTACATTTATGGTTGTTTTGACTGCAGTGTAGGTAGATCTGTGTACCATGTGTGCCTGGTGCCAGTAGAGGCCAAAAAGGACATCAGATACCCTGCAACTGGAATTTCAGATGGTTATAAAGACACCATGTGGGTGCCGAAAATCAAACCTGAGAGCTCCTGAAGAGCAGCTGGAGCTCTTAGCTTCTGAGCCACCTCCCCAGCCCACGAGGGGCATCTGGATTAGGCTAACTGCAGTGACATCTGCTGTTCTGCATGGCTACTACTAATTTTTTTTTTTAAAGTTATTATTTGGGGAGGGGTGCGGTCTTGGCTGGCCTAGAATTCATTCTGTAGACCATGCTGGCCTTGAACTCATAGAGATCTGTTTGCCTTTGCCTTCCAAGTGCTGGGATGAAAGGCATGTGCTACCACACCTGGCTCAAGTTTTATTTTTTAAGTATGTTTACATATGTCTGAGTATGTACTTGTGCACATTAATGCAGTACCCAGAGAAGCCAGAAGAGGGCATCAGATCCACTGGAGCTGGATTTGTAGGCCACCACTATGTGGGTGCTGGGAACTGAACTTGGAACCTCTGTAAGAACTCTTAACTGGCCAACCGTCTGAGCTATGTAGCCCTGGCTGCCCTGGAACTTCCTATGCAGAGCAGGTTAGCTTCAAACTCAACAGACATCTGCCTGCCTCTGTCTCCCAAGTGCTGGGATTTAAGGAGTGCCCCACTATGCCTGGCTCCTCTCTGCTTCTTTACTGATGTACTGTGACCAGCTCCCTTAAGTGTCTGTTGCTATGGCTTCCCTACTATGCTGACTTGGGACTTGGAACTGTGAGCCAAAACCAATCTTCCCTTCCCTAAGTTGCTTTTGTTGCTATTTTATCACAGCAACAGAGAAGTCACCAGACATCTAGTCTTACTGTAGCAGAACATGGCTGTCCTGGCAGTGCCCTTCAGGTTGAGCCCCTGGGGAAGCTGCACTGGACTGGAGTGGGGGGAACACAGAAAGCCCCAGCCTTTGGCTGAGGTAGGTTGGATGGAGAGTGAGGCCGTGCACTTAGGTTAAGTCCACATTCTACACAGGCCATCACACTGATGGGGGCAGAACCAGTGAGGACCCTATCCTGTGCCCACCACCATCCATTCCTAGTGAGTGTTAGCAGCTCAGTCCTACCAAGACTGTTTGACTATGGCTGAAGCTGGCCCAGAAGGCAGAAAGAGCACTGGTAACTGCTCAGGCTGGGACGAGTAACCAGGCCAGAACTGAGAGGGATGGCGGGAAGGTGAGGCTGCACCTCTGGATCGTGTTAATTCATCCTGCCACTGCTCCACTCAAGAGCGGCGCACAGTCCAGCTCTGAGGATGGGGCCTAAGTGCCACCAGGGCCAAACCTGGGCAAGAGTGGTTATCACCATCCCTAGTGAGTAGATGCTTTCTTTATAGACAAGTTCCCCCACTGGATGGATTAAGGCTGGGCTTCCGGATCCTGTGGCCCACAGTGAATGGGGCTGGCCATAGGGCCCTGTCAGAGCCCACAAAGACCTGCTCCACTTTGCACATTGAGTCCTGACAGCCAACACACCAGCTGGTCTGTCTCCACTTCAACCCTGACTCCCCTAGATTTATTTTTCTGTAGTGAGTGATGGGGATGGTGTCCCTGAACTTGGGCAACGTGGTTGCTATGGAGACATCAGGTGTGGAGCACAGGATGCTTGCCCACAATGTACACTGAGCCACACTATGCCCCTCATTTGGTTTCAGCCAGTGTCTAACCTTTTCCTCTGTTGTGTACTCCTATTCATCCTTAAAAGCCCGTCCACCCATGTCCCTTTCTGAGCTTTGCTCAGTTCTCGTTTCTATCATTTATATCTGTCTTCCCCTCAGAGCTCTGGGAAGTCCTCAAAATCAGCAAAGTAGGGACTGACCCTCCCATCTCCACAGCCAGAAGGCAGGCAGAGGTGGAGAGAACAAGCGATAAAGCTGCCGAGGCAGGGGAATGCCCTGGGCATCGCATAGGATCTGGGTTGAACCAACTGTACTCAGGCCTCCAGAGCCAGCTCTTACCTGTGTCATTGGCACATGGGTAGTGGTAGGTGTGGATGCATCCCTTGTAGGAGCACGGGATGGTCGCTCCGGCTTCATGACAGCTGGTACATGGCTGAAGAGAGAGGAAGGCAAGTGAGTCCTTGTGTGTTCCAGACAGGCCCAGCAGCACTTCTGCCAGGATGGCACCGCAATGCGGCATAGAGGGCTATGCCCTCAAGGGCTGGCCCTCTGCCACCTCCTGGGCTGGCACACTGCATGGGGGACCCTCTTGGGCTAGTGGTGCTGGCAGCCACCATCTGTCAGGTGCTGCTTCCATGCTGGCTCTGGTGTGTCCGCAGCCACAAGAGGTGTGGCTTTCACAGACCTCCACTTTCCAGACGGTGAGACAGGCCCCTTTCATGTGAAAGCAGGCAAGAAGCACTCTACCCAATGGCGGCAGATGCACAGAAATGAGCTGGGGGAGGAATCGGCACAGGACCCTCCAAGAGGCTGAGCTCAAGAGAATCTGATGACCCCTACCTCAAGAGTATGTCCAGCCCGACTTCTGCGGGACTTCAGAGGCTATAGTTGGCTAGAAGACAAAGAAGTCTAATGGAGGAGTGACACCAAACATTGGCACGGGGAAAGATAAAGATGGGCCTTGGCCATCCCTGTCCCCAAGCCTGTCACCACAGTGGGCCGTGAGGCAGGAGGGAAGCAGAGGACACAGCAGGCTCACAGACTAAGCACTGCAGTAACAGTGTACTTGGTGCCAGGCATGGCTGCAAGTCCCAGCACACAATGAACTTCTCGAGGCCAGAGAAAACGGAGCTGGGAACAACTCACAAGCTCAAAGTTCCAGGCAGATCCTAAGCTGCAGCCAAGCAGGCCCAGGCTGTCCTGACAGGATGGGTTCTGTTCTAACGCTCTGTAGCTGAAGTGGCCAGGAGGGATAGCACAAAAGGAAGACATTAAAACAGAGGCTCTGGGTAAGCCACTCGAGGACTTAAGAGCCCCAGGCCCATCTCTTAAGGCATCAAAGGAAGCACAAGCGGAGACTCCAGGGTAGACCAAGTCTCATGCACCCTTAGAAGCATTTCAAGACTCTTATGGGGCCCCCTGTGGCAGAGTCCCAAGCAACTCCCGAGGCAGGGCTCTGCTGGTTGCAGACATGAAGAGACTAAAGCACAGAAGGATGAAGACTATTGTCTTGCTCCCAGTTCCCTTACAGGGGCCATAGCTGATGAACTGTGCCCCACTTCTTGGCCTGAGCACCCACACCAGAGACCACCAGTCTCCTGAGGGCGATTTAGCCAAGCCCCCCCCCCCCAGCCAAGAAATGAGGATGCCACAACCTAGGGATGTGGGCAGCCTGAGTGGCTGAGTCCAGGAAGTGCCATGAGGCAGCAGGGACTGTGGACGACAGGAAAGACCAAAGACCTGGCCAGTGTACTGCCTGGGTGCTGGCATTCTGGGGCTTGCAGAGGAAACAAGGCTTCCTGGAGATATATCTGAACTAGGGTCTGCCTGGTGCCTAGAGTAGTACCAAGCCACTGAGGCAGAAAGCAATGGGCTGAAGAAAAACCCTGCAGTCCAGGAAACCTGGGAAACCCTAGTCTATTCTCTAGCATATTCTAGGTGGCCATGTCATGAGCCTGTGTCTATGGGGTACAGTCTGGCAGCAGGTCCCAGCTGCCAGCCAGAACCACCTCTGGCAGCCAACCCTTGTCCAGTGAGGGCCTCTTGGCCTTCCCTGTTACCCTGAGTTGACAGGGCTCAGCAGAGAGCTTCCTCAGTTCCACAAGAGATTCTGTGGGTGCCAGGAGCACGGGGCAAAGCAGGGTACAGGGGCCTTTCCTGCACTCACCCATGTTCCTCCTTGTTTATGTCAGGTTGAGGACGTGAGATGACCTGGTGCCAACCCTAGGGCCCAAAGAAGCCCTGCATGGTGCAGGGTCAGGACAACCAGCTGGACAGGGGCTCCATCCAGGCTTGGGGTTTTTTTCCTTTTTAAAAAATGATTTATTTTTATTTTACATGTATTGGTGTTTTGCCTACTGTATATCTGTGTGAAAGTGTCAGATGTCCTGGAACTGGAGTTACAGACAGTTGTGAGCTGCCATGTGGATACTGGGAACTGAACCCCAGTCCTCTGGAGGAGTGGCCGGTGCTCTGAACTGCTGGGCCAGCTCTCCCAGGCTTGGTGCTTTCTAATGGAGAGACGAGATTTTAAGGTGGCCATAAAGATGAAGTTCCCATGGAACCAGTGCCAGGCAGGAAGAGCATAGAGGTCCAGCACCATGTATGGCTGGTGTCCTGCCTGCTGCATCAACTGGCTGAGGGACTGGAAGCTGCAGTGTTGTCTCTTGGGCCCTTCTCACCAAGGTAGGCAGACAACAGGGCCCAGAGAGATTCTATAGTCATCACCATGGACAGTCCCTGAACTGGGACAGATCAGGCCATCTTGACATTCAATTCTGGAAGGACTCTGTCTTGCCAGGACCAGCAGCTCCGATTTTGGGTAGTATGTGTGGATAGTATGTTCCAGCTGGGCCCAGTGGAACACAGAAACTGTAGCACATACCCTGGGGCCTGATGGAGAAATGTGTCTGGCTGTAGCCCCAGAGCCTGGAGCCTGGAGCCTCCACAGTGGTCCCCAAGGTCAAGGGTGGGGCCTGCCTAGGCAGAATGCTTCTCAAGAACTGGGACAGTAAAGTCAGGGGAGGAGGGGGGCACTGAACAGCTGGGGTCCTCTAGGCTCAGCTGCCCATAATGTGCTGAGGGAAGAAAGGGGAGGGGGAAGCCAACAGAACTGGCATGGCTGCCTAGCAAGAAACAGTGTGGAGGAGTGGGTCTGGAGCCTCACTGCCCAGGAAATCAGGGCAGAATCTGCAGAGGTAGGAAATGGCCTTGCTGCCCTGGGGCCAAAACTTCAGGGAACATAGGCTCTGAAGTGGCCTCTGCCAGTCCCCTTGGCCTGAAGAATCTTAGCTGCAGCCACAGCTCAGAATGCTTTCTCCTTCCCAGACCTGTGATCCCAGATACAGCCTTAAAGATCAATAGGTGTTAATGTACTAGGTCCCGTGACCTTGCCCCACAGGAGAGGCAGAGCAAGGGTGGACGGGAAATGGATGCTGCAGTCCCAAGTTCTCTGAAGGGATGACTTAAAACTGGAGGTCTGAGCTTCAGGGCTTCTGTGGCCAGGTAAGCCAGGGCTGCCAGGACCAGTGTCCCATGCTTTAGCCACACGTTGTTTAGAAGCTATCCCCTATGTCCCAGTTCAGGGGGAGACCAGGTCATCTTGACATTCAACTCTGGAAGGACTCTGTCTTGCCAGGACCAGCAGCTCCGATTTTGGGTAGTATGTATGGACAGTATGTTCCAACTGGGCCCAGTGGAACACAGAAACCGTAGCACATACCCTGGGGCCTGATGGATAAATGTGTCCTGCTGTAGCCCCAGGTGTGCTTCAACTTGCCTCCGTACTCCCTCAAGGGACTCTGGGGCTTGAGGCTGTGCTCTCTGGCTATGGACACAAGTAACCCACGACAGAGCCCTGGAGACACTTCTGCCACCTGTTGGTACTTCAAAATCCCCTACCCCACCCCGGCTGCTCTAGCTTCTTACCATGTCCACAGCTACCTTCATGGCCTCCTGCAGCCCAAAGAGCTTCCCGGCCACCAGGTACACCCCGCTGGTCCACACGGCACAGGCCTCATGTACCCAGTGTTCCTGGGTGTCCCCACCAGGCTCTGCAGGGGCCTCTTTGCTGCATTCATGTTTGCGGCTCTTGTCAGCTGGGGCCACCTCCTCACCCCCGTCCCCCTGACCGTCACAGCAATAGCAGCTCTGGAGTCGCCGTGACAGGCCCCGGGCACTGGTGCGCAGGGAGCCCTGCTTGGCAGGGTCAGCTGGGCCATCAGGCCTGGACAGCCTCCCCAGTGTCGTGGTGGTAGTAATGGTGGTTGTGGTAGGGGTGGCAGCCATGGTGCTGCCTGCACATTCCAGGCCTTTGAGTGTTCTCTCAAGAGGCAGAGAAACCTCCTCCAAGGCGCCCTCCAGCCGCACCTTCTCCTTCAGTTTTGGCTTCTTTTTTGGGAGGCAGTGTTCAGGGTAGTAGGGGCCACAGAGGTCCCCAAGGTCCTTGAAATTGGCCGGGTTTTGGCAGAGGCAGCAGACAAGGCAAGAGGTACTTAGGGCCTTGGACACCACAGGCCCCAGATGCATGGTGGAGGAGAGGGGCAGGGAGGGCCTCGGCTGCAGCACAGAGCCTCCAGGGAATGTGGTCAGAGAAGCCCCAGCTGGGTCTGAGGAGGAGGAGGTGGAGGAGGCAACAGAGGAGGAGGGTTTCCAGTGAGGCTTCGGCTCATCCCCTGGGGAGTTGACAACAGTGCATATGGTGGTGTACGCATCTCGCTTCTCCACCCGCACGAAGGGCGAGAAGGCTGGGGTGCGGCTGTCTGCCCTTAGCCTCTTGCAGGAGGAAATGTATTTGAGTCGGATTTCAGGCTCTGCAGGATCCATAGGCAGGACCTGCTGCTGCCTTCTCCGAGTGGCACGTCCCTTACAGGGTGAAGCATGAGTGGTCTTCCCCCGACCACGGCTGAGGCGCTTCCGCTTTGAATAGCTGCTATAGCTGGCTTGGCCTGGCTGCTTCTGTGCCCTTGTCTGGGGCTGGCAGGGCCGGCCTTCAGGGGGCTGGGAGGCTAGTCCCAGCTCCTCTGTCTTTGGCTTCTTGCCTCCTCCACTGGAGTTGTCCTCACCTCCACCCTGAGTGCTGCTGGCCCTGTCGTGGGGAGCGAGGATCAGAGCTTGGCCAGGACAGGGCCGCTTCTCCAATGGGCCTTTGGAGGGTCCCAAAGCCCCAGTCCTGCCTTTTCGGCTCCTTTTCTTCGGTGCCCGAGCAGTCCCTAGGGATGGCAGGGTCTCTGGGGACATGAAGGCCTCAGCTTTGGGACAGTCAGCAGCAGAGGACAGCTTCTTACTATTCAAGAGTTTACCTTTGAGGGACCTGCTGGCTGGGTTTCTGCACAACAGATCAGCTCCTGAAGCAGCTGGTAGCATCTGCCCTGCACCCATTCCTCCTAAACCCTCTTCTGCCCCAGCTGGACTGCCCCCTGAACGTTTCTCAGGTAGGGCTGGGCTCCGGGGTGTCCCAGGAGGGGCCCCTGCCACTCTGCAGGCAAGTTTCTTGAGACCAGGTGAGGTGATCTTCTGTACTATGGCCTCCAGCTTGAGGCCACGGCCCTTTCGGGGTGGCAGCACCTTGGTCCTCACAGCACTGGGCAGGGATGATTGTGTAGCCAACCCCATGCATGCAGCAGGTGGCTCCAGGGGTGGGGGTGGGGGTGGCTCCCCACTGCCCCTGGGTCTAGCCCTCTGGGGTGAGGCCATCCTCCGTAAGAGGCCTGGGGAGCTCTCTGCCCTCTCCTCCCTCCCATCCACCCCACTTCCATTGTTGCTTCGCAGGATGAGGCTCCGCTTTTTGGTGGGGACAGGTGCCATGAAGGCTGACTTCCTCTTGAGTGTGTGGAGAGGCCTATCGGAAAGCTTGCTCCCTGTACCAGGCTTGGGTATTTTGACCCGCTGGCTCATGCGACCTTCCTTCTGGGGCCCACTGGAGACCTTGAATGCAGTGGGTAAGTGGTTGTTAGCAGGGAGCTTCTTGGTGGCACGACAGTCTGGGATCCGGCTCCCTGAGGGCCGCCGTCGTTTGGCATGGAAGACCTGCTGGGGCTTGGTGCGAGACCGGAGGACCATGGAACGCTGGTCTTTCCCAGGCATGCCAGGAGAGTCTGGCTCCTTGGTTTTGGAGCCCATAGGGCTGCTGTCTGAGGCAACAGGCAGGGCAGCAGGGTTGCTGGGGCTGGAGGCAGCCTTGGGTGACGGTTTTCCCACCCGCTTGCCAGACTTGAAGGCAGCTCGCTGTTTACCTCCGAGTTTGTCAGGAGGTGTGGGGGTGGTGGTCAGCCCTGGAGGGCCAGGAGTTTGGGGCTCACTCAGAGCTGTAAGAGAGCGGGTACACATTCTGGGGATCCCTTCTGACAGCCCCCGGCCTGGGGCTCCAGCCCCCTCTGCCTGTCCCTGTGGGGGACCTGTGCAGGACTCTGGGAGCAAGAGGTCTTTGGGGAGTGCTGGCACCCTGCATGGGGAGTCTTCAGCCTCAGGCAGCCCCCGGTGTACTCGCCGGCTCCGTAAACTTTTACCCCGTGGCACAGGCTCTTTCTTAGCAATGGGCCCCTCGGGAACGGCAGGCTTGTTAGGCTTTGGGGCCAAGGAGCCTTGTGAAGTGCTGGAACTACCTGGAGCTCTCTCCATCTCTGGCCCTTCTTCCCCTGGCTTCATATGTGACAGAGAAGACTCAAACCAGCTCTGGACCTTTGATTCAGCACCCACCGAGGGGCCCAGTAGAACAGCAGGCTCCCCAGAGAGGTGACATGGAGAGACCCAGCCAGCCTTGGTATCCAGCACCTCCTCTGCTTCCTCCTTGGTGCAGATCAGGGGTGCCTTGGGGGACAATGGGTCCTGCAGACTGGGCCTCTGCTCAGGGCTCCCCAGCAGTTCACACAGAGAAGAGTACTCCTCTTCAGCTTCCAGGTCCTCCTTCCTGCCAGGGGGAGGCAACAGTGGCAGGTCCCCAAAGTCAGTGGAGGAACAGCAATGGCGGCTATCCTCCAGCCACTGGTCAGCCTTGCCCACCTCAGGGCACTGCAGCAATCCACCCACTTCCTCTTTCACCCCATCTGCCTCCTGCTGCTTGAAGTCCCCAGACAGTGCAGCTGCTGGCTTCCCAATGGCATGCTCTTCCTGGAAACCCATGCAGGCAGAGGTCTCATGTGCATCTGCCTTGCCCACACTGTCTGAGGCTTTTGCACCCTGCTCCAAGCCCTTGGTAAGCTCACCAGGGTGGAGGCCCCAACGAGGACAAGCATCGCCCAGGTTCTCCTCTGGCCAAGCAAAGGGGTTGGCACCATCCACTGAGCTGGCAGTGGTTGTATCTGGGAAGCAGTCAAACGCTGCAGCAGTGGGGTCAGGAGTGGCAGTCCCAAGCAAAGGCTTGGTGCCGAATGACAGGGGGCTGGTTGTTTTCTTCGGGTCAGTGGTAGCAAAGGCCACAGAAGGGTCTTCAAACAGCCCCGGACTGAAGTCCTTGGTGCTGCCGCCCTTGTCCAGCTGCAAGGGCTCAGGTAGGGTCTCTGGCTCCCCCGGCTGTGACCATGAAGTCTTGGCCACAGTGTCCAGGCAGGTGCTATGGTTCTCCAGTGAGAAGGGTGGCTTGCCACTGTCCTTGGGCAGGCTGGAAGCCTCAGCCCAGGCCTTGTCAGCCTTCTCAACAATGGCTTCCTGCAGTCCCAGGATCTCAGAGGCCAGATCTTCCTGTGCCAGGGCACTGAGCAGCAGCCGCGGGCAGTCCCGTTCGCCTGCCACAAATTTGGAGAAACTGTCTAGTGGCAGAGTACTGTGCAGGCTCTGGAAAGAGTCATCAGACTTGGTGGACATGTCATCTGGTGAGGTGACAGAACAGGTGGACACAGACTCAGGCTTGGCCTTGGAGTTGCTGTTGACCCTGGCAGGACTGCCCCGGGCCTGGCTGCAGTAGAGGAAGCTGCGCTCTAGCGGGTCCTCAGAGCCACTCAGGTAGTCAGCGTCTTGTGGCTCAGCATGAGTGGACTGTGGTGTGCTGCTTGGCGGCTCAGACAGTGGTGTGCCTGCTGGCTCAGCTGAGTAGCCACTGCCCTCGGGGCTACAGTGCTGGCTTTTGTGCTGCTCTGGAGTCCTAGACACAAGGTTCTTGACCCCTTTCTTCTGTGGCATGGCAGCTTTGGAAAGCAAGAGCTGCTGCACAGTGTTGGAGATGTTCTCTACCTGTGAGGTGAGCGCTGTGAGACTCTGCAGGCTGAGATCTGACAGCAGGCTGTCAGGGAGCTTCTCTTTTGGCAGGGGCTTGCAGTTGCTGACCTGGGGCTCTACAGAGCCGGCAGCATCTGTTGGGGATGGGTTGAGCAGGGGCATAAAGTGGCTGTGGTCCGTGATGCCTGTGGGGAAGGCCCCAGTACTAAGCGGCTGCTGGCTATAGGGGAAGTTCTCCAGATTGGGCATCAGTGGCGATGGGGTGGAGCTATAGGAAGGGGAGCGACCCACAGACCGTGCAGGGGAGTGGCTGGAGCTCGGGCTGAAGGTCTGGTAATACTGTTCTGGAGTCCTGACAGCTGTGTCCGGTGGACAGTAGCCCTGGCCTTGTTGTCCATAGTGTTGGTACTTCGCAAGGTTCTGGTAGTGGAGTGTTTCCTGGGTGTGGTGCCGGCCTTGAAGGGCTTGCTGCTGCTGCTCGTAGCCAAGGCGGCCCGGCTGGTACGTGTGAAGATTCTGGACCCGTTGCCCTGGAGCCAGGCTTGCATTGGCACTCATCGGCCTGTCATGAGGCTGGGCAGACGGTGCTGTGCAGCTCTTGTATGAGTGGGGCCCCTGCCCACCACCCTGCACTGCTGGGGCATAAGTAGAGGAGGTAGGGAAGGACTGGGAATGCTGGGGAAAGTGGCTGCCCTGGGGGAAGGGCAGAGGGGAGGCAAGGTCATTCTGTGGTTTCTGCCTTTGGAGTTTAGGGTAAGCTAGGGGCTGCTGAGGCTGTGGTGGTGGGACATGCAGGCTGTGAGTCCGGAAGGGAAGCTGGGGGCCCTGCTCAGGGTACTGCCTGTTTGGAGGCACCACTGTCTTCTTCATCAAGTTCTCCTCATACTTGCTCACTGGCCCTGGCAGAGGCTGTGGCTGAGGAGGAGGTGGCTGTGGGCCCCCCCAGGCCTGAAGACCCTCCTCGCCAGAGTAGCGCCCTGGGTAGGGGCTGCTGTCTTGAACATAGCTGGGGAAAGCTGGCCTCCCCTGCAGGGATTTGCTGCCTCGGTGGTACTTGTCTGCAGCTGCCGTGGCCACTGTGCCAGAAGGTGTACCAGTGCCACCTTCATAGCCTGTGTAGGGCTGAGGGCTATAATAGTCCTTGGCCAGCAGTCGCTGCCGATCACAGCTTAGCCCAGCCTGACCCGGCTGCCTGTAGTTCTCCAGGCGCGATGTTTCCTGTGAGGTTTGTGGGTAGTTTTGCTGTTTGCCATGGAAACCACACCTTTCTCGAAAAGACTGCATGGCTCGGGCTGGTTATCTGTGAAGAGAAAGGATGGTGCAGAGGGAAGACAATTCAGACAGGCCATGGTTTACTCTCTACCTCAGCTAGCATCCCTCCCTGCCACCTTCCCACCAGCTGTGCACATACTGGCAACCTCTGGGTCTGAGAGGTGTGCTGCTCTAAAATCCTGCTTCCATGGTGAGCTCCCACTGAAATGGATAGTCTAAACAGGCCGCACAGAGCAAGTCACAGTGGATGGCCACTCCAGGCCCTCTTGCCAGCTCCCCCTGTCTATCACTCGTCTGTACTACCACGCCCAGCCCTTGTAGACAGCTCAAAATCATTTAGCAGAGCAATTCCACTGTTCCCTGGGGCCCTGCTGGATCCCATCATCTTAGTCTTTGTGCTGCCGTACTTCAGCATGACTCAGCCGCACTGGGTACCCATGAGGACCCCCTCCCCAACTGGGGAGAGGCCGCTTTCCAGGCCCGCTGTAACTGCACATACAGGAATCCACGCATGTACAAAGGACCTATCAGGCACATGTACATGCACGCTCACACACACGTCCCCTGCAGTGCCATCTGGACTCTGTCCCTTCTGGCAGATGTTGACTGGGGGCTGCTAAGCCAACTGTCCACAGAAAGCATCCCCTCCTCTGACTCCCGGGAATGAAGGATGGTAGCACCTGCCTCCTGTTCTTGGTATCATAGGTGCATAAACAGATTATGTCGTCCGGAGTGTGGGGATGCATACTAATAGGGGACAAAGACACAGTCCCCTGGCACTGGGGAGCACACTATCCTCCCTCTTCTCTAACCCTCCCTGCTGAGCCACTCACAACTTCTCAGGTCAGGGATGGTACAGACAGCACTGATACAGGAGACAGGGCAGGAAGACCAGGGCTTTTGTGGGTGGTCACAACCTAGGCTTGTGCATCTCTTCTGGTTTCCTTCAACTGACTGACTTTGGTTACCCCAGAAAATCCTCAGTGATAAAAAAGAGGAATACCCCTAAGCTTTGGAGAAATAACAAAGGCTGACTGTTGGCCCTGCATCCCACAAGCTCAGGGTTACTCAGCCACCACACAGGCGGAAGGGAGGATGTCCAAGCTCTCTGGGTCTGAGCAGTCCAAGCTCCTAGGAGGGAACTGGGACTTTCCAGTTCTTGTCCCAAAACACACTAAGATGGAGGTGTGGTCTGCCATAGACCACAAAGGTTTGGGGGGGGGGAGGTTGTTTTGTTGAGAACTAAATGTGAGGGAGGAGAGGTAAGTGCCTCACAGAAACAGAGGTGTGAAAGGCAGGAGTGGGGAGCTATTGGTAGGGAGATCCAGCCTCCCTTTAGTCTGGATCCCACAAAGGTACTTTCCTTCCTTTGTCTGGGAATTGACCCAAGGAAGGGGAAAAATGAGCTCCATCCAGCTCAACAGGGCATTCCCAGGCAAGCAGACAGCCTCCAGAGCTCAGAGCAGTACGACTGACCCAGCTGCCCCTAAGATAACTTTCCTCCTCTCCAGGTTGTTAAAGCTTCCTGCCTATCCCATCCCCAACTCATCGTCCATCTCTGACCCCTCATTAGGACAGTGCCCACCTACCCTTTGGATCTACTTCATTCCAGTCCTTGTGGTTTGGATGAAGCACCTGCCATTCCAGAGGGGCTGGAGGCAGCATCCATCCAGGTGGTCAGCCTGGTGCCTCCTGCCCTACCTTCTCAGAGTAGAACACACTCTGGATGCAGGTGGATGCCACTCCTGGTCAGGATAGCTGGTGGGCCACTTCTAAGACCAGGACACAAAATGCCAGTTCCCTGCCCTCCCTGGATATGTGTTTATAAGCCAAGAATACACAATCCCAAACTGCTCTGAAGGCTACATCTGCCTCCCTCATATATCTGCACAAATTACATTTCAGTTTTTATTAGTCCCAGATCACTCTCATTTCCTGCTGAGTGTCCTGTGGATATCATTAACATTTCTACGGCTGGAGTTGTGTGTCTGTGTGTGTGTGCATGTGTATGTGTGTGTGTGTCCCTGCAATACATTCCCCAAAATGCATTACCAGAGACGTTATCTAAAGAGGGGAGCCATGAACAGTGTCCCCTCCCTGCCTACTCTGTCCCTGCCCCATCTAATCAGTCCAGCTGCTGTGCCTTTTAATTCCCCACACAGGATCACAGGCCGGCTTCCCAATGCACACAGGCAGCTGGATGTGGAAAGCATCTATCTCTAAGAAAAGACAGTTCAATTAAAATCTCAGAGGCCCAGTGCCTGTTGGAGGACACAGGCAGAAAAACATGTGCCCCAGCACTACCCTCCAACCCTGGCAGAGGGAGGGACAGAAACAAAGGCTCAAGCATGGTGGCATCCTAGCTGCTAACTACAAAGGTACTGCTGGCTCTGCCAGGAGAAAGTAGGTGCTGCCTCTTTAAGGCTTGGAGTGGGCTCTGTTGTTATTAATTATTGTGATTATGATTATTTTTCAAGAGCACCAAGAAAGGATATGAAAGAGATGAGAAGCAGATAGCAAAGGGCTGGTATGGGCAGCATCAGGAGAGCGATGGAAGAATGAATTCCCCATAGGTGACAGTGACCTTTCAACACGGAGGAAAGAAGCTGAGACGGCTGGAGTAACGGCAGTAAGGTTTGAGAACAGTAAGGTTTGAGAACGGAACCTTGCCCCAGCTTCTGCTCCTCCCCCGTCTCCTGGGAACTTGCCAAGGCTTCCCCTCAACCAGCTTGGCAGACTCTGGCACGTAGCTAATGGGAATCCAGAGCAACCCTCGTTGCCCTAGGGACATGACTACTCCACCCTTGTAACCACTGGTTACTCTAGACACTGGATGGAAGAGTGTACCAGGCCCAACAAGGCCAGATCTTCGTGAAATCTGATGGTGCTTGCAATCAGGATGAACTCCCTTTGACATTCCAGCAGCCAAGGATGGCAAGCCATCAACACAGCCATGAAACAGTGCACTGAAGAATAGTGAGGTTAAGCCTCAGGCACGGCCTTCTCCCAAAGACTCTGTGTGTGTGTGTGTGTGTGTGTGTGTAGGGGGGGTGGAAGGATGGTAGCCACTGATAAAACTGGACTTCGTGTTTTATCTTGTCCCTTCTACTACTAAAGGTGAAGTCAATAGGGGCAAAGGATTTCCTTGTGACCCTAGCTCAACACTGAAGATCAAATCCCTCTTCTGGACCCCACACCACAAAGTCCCACCCTGAGAAAATGTCTTGGTATGACAGCAAGAATGCAGAGCTGAGCTCAGGACAGACAAATATATGCACAGGCACCCACCTGCCTATGTGTCCCTCTACAGCAGGCCAGACCCTGCCTGCAAGCCTGGCTCTGCATTTCTGTGTTACTAAGGGCAAATCCAGGGTCTTTATCTTGCTAACCAAGGTCTACCACTGAGCTGTACCCTACTTCTCAGCAGGCAATCCTACCTATAGTATCTGACTAGCCTCTAGTGAAGGGTCATTAGTCCCAGAGCCTCATCAGGTCCAAGAGTTAGCCCCACCAGTGAGATGGGTATACTGTGGGCCAGAGCTGCTAATGTTTCCAGTGGGCCCTGTAGGAATGTTATCCTGAGGGGAAAAGGTGGAGGGAGAGGTGGGAAGAGACACATCCCCTCTTCACTAGCAGCCCCCAGCCACTGGTCCTCCCACCTCCCCATAGTTGTTTATAACCTGATTGGTAGCTTAGGAAAAATTGAAAGCCTAACCCAGTCTGGTTCTCAACCCTGAGACCAAAAAGGGGGTATTTATGGGGCCCAGGAAGCCTAGGGAAAGACAGATGTTCATGGAGCAATGGGTAGGTGAGACCCCAAGGGCCTCCCAATCTGTTATGGATGAATAATAAATATTAAGACTTGGAAGCTGGGAGAGGGCTCAGTAAGATGGCTTGCTGTATACGTCCGAGGACCTGGGTTTGGAACCCCAGCACTAATGCAAAAAAAAAGATGGGCAAAGCAGGATGAGCTTGTAACCCCAGTAACAAGGGGGAGGGGGATGGAGAAGAGGAGAAAACAGGTATTGCCTGATTTTGCAGGCTAGCTAGCTTGGGGGCAGTGAGACTGTCTAAAGGGAATAAGACAAAAGCCACTCTGCAGAGGAAGGCACCAGAGGTCTCTGCCAGTCTTCAGGACTGAGCATCTTCACAACAACAGTGAGACCTCACTGGCCTTTGAGACTAGGCTAGATTTCTTGGGCTAAGGGCTAGCATCAGAAAGAGACTGGAGGATCTGCTTAGCGCAGGGTGGTGGTGAGGCAGCTCTACCCCAAAGCATGGCCTCTCAAGACCACCCCATGTTAGTAATATCTTTTTTACACTACTTCTCCTCCCCACCACTGCAGGATCTGGGTCCTGGGTAGCCAGAGGCAGGCAGAGAGATAAGAAGTAGCAGACAGAGACAGGGTTGTGGTTCGGGCTTTTTAGAACACTTGCCTAGCATTCATTCAGTATCTCCATCACTGAAATAGAAAATTAGCAGGATATAGTGGCATAAACCTGTGATCCCAGCATTTAGAATCTGAAGCAAGGGGATCAGATCTCAAGTTCAGGACCAGTCTGACAGGTTAGGTGTAGAGCTCAGTGGTAGAGTATTTGCCTAGCATTCATAAGGCCTTAGATGCAATTACCAAACACTGCAACAAGCCAGCCTGGACAACACAGGAAAAAAAGATGGACCCAGCATCTTTTGAGGCCCTAAGAGGCTGAATCTGAGTTTCTGGAGGATGTGTGAGAACCTCCTTCAGACTTATCATCTCTACCACACTAGGTCACTGGAGTGAGATCCAATACCACGTCATTGGCCCTGCTTGTGCAAGTTCTTTCTTAGACACTGCCCTCAGCATCTCTTACAAGGATGCAGTAGGTCACAGCTGGATGCCCTCAGTGGCAGGGGCCCATAGTCCAGCTGGGCCTGTACCCACCATCATGGTTGTCTTCTCTGTAGCCACCTCAGCTGCTATTCTTCATTGGTCTCTTGTGGCTACTGTGGGTCATTTTATTGACCACTCAACAAAAGGCATCACT